CTAGCCACATCTGTGCCAAGTTTGTCTGAGCTTCAAAAACTACCTGCTTAGCTGACTGCCGTAGCCAGTCCTTGATGCTTTCTTCCTTCAGGGAGCAGCCGATGAACACGAGGTAACACTCCTGTTGCCCGCTGCTGTCTTGAGGTGTGCCTCGGGAGTTGGGTGGTGGCGTCGGTCCCTCCAATACAGGCACAATGCTCAAGGAATTGGCCAAAGTGTTGTGGCAGACCTCCATGGTCTTCTCAGAGTCTGCAAGAACACATGTCAGTCCCCGAGACAATGCCCCAAAAGAATAAGGCTACACAAGACTGACACAGGGTCTATGGTCGGGGACAGACTCATGAGACATGTACAGGAGGGAGAACGGACATAATTGGTGGCAAGTTAGAAAGGATGAAGTAAGAGAGGGCGGAGTAGGTTGGTTGATCAAGTGATCAGGTGGATATAACCTAGAAGGGGACTATAAGAGAAAGGCCCCCTTCTGGAGGGGTGGGTCTCAACAGAGGCCTGAGGGGCCAAGGGAGGAGGGCGTGTCCACAGTACAAGTGCTGTAGAAAGGTCACCGGGATGGGAATAGAAAAGAGGGGACAAGGTTTACAGGCTGAGAAGCTGGGCTATGACTGACTGGAGACATGAGAAAAGATAAAGGTACCTCTAAAAGGCAGGATGAGAAAAGGATCCAGAACAAGAGAGGTTAACCTTGAACAAGCAAGGGGTCAAGAGTAGGTGTAAATAAAGAAAAGGAGCTGATGATGGGGGAGAGGGAAGACAAAGGCACTAAGACCCCTGAAGCAGGTAGGGTGGGGGGGTTGTTTGTTGGCGCCTGAGGGAAGTGGGCTTGAGCAAGGGGCTTGAAGAGAGGGCCAAAGTTTCAAATTCAGTAATATAATTTAGGCCAATGGTACAGGTTAAAGACCATGAAAGATTCCTTTTTAAAGGTTACGTTGTCTAATTCTTCCATCTGAAGACCCAGATGGTTCCATGCTTACAACTCTCAATGGCTCCCTGTAGCAGACACTGATGGCTGCCTGTCCAGCAGCCCTCTCTTCCTCCAATACCAATTCCCCATGGGTCCTGGATCCTGGAAGGCATAGCAACTGAATTCCGGTCAAGGGGAGAAGTCTGCTGAAGAATTGGGAGGAGGCACTTCAGCAAGGGTGTCTGCACTGATAAAGATACCACAGGAAGAGCCAGCCTCTCCATCAGCTGGATGTTGTGTCTGGATTTGACACCTAGACCTACAGCACTACTTGGCAACCATGAGGGGTGGGTACCTGAGGACAAACTGACATCAAGAATGGAAGAACACAGAGACACACATTAGCTGGGTCCTCAGTGGCTTTGCTAAGCTGCCTGACCTCTTGCTTCTTGGTATGTAGCTAACACCTGCTAGTTGATTTGGGGTTTTCTGTTGTAAGAGCCAAAGACAACCTAGCAGACACAATCCCTGCCTTCTGCTAAGCCCCAGCCACAGTAAGCCCTTTCTGGTTCCTGAAGTGTGCCTTTTTGCCTCAGGTCCACAGCACATACTGTGCCTTTTCTCTGGAACAGTCTCCCCTTCCTCAGTGCTGAGTTGAGCAACTCCTTCTTGTTTTGAGGCCTTCTCTGACCCCAGCCCAGATAGACAGACTTCAGGTCTGGAAGGCTCCAGAGGTCTAAGGCTGATAAATAGGCCTACTGAACAGAAGGGAGAAGGCAAGTGACTTTGATAGACATGGATCAGAAGCTGGAGATCTCAGTGTTGGGGTAGCTCTAGAAAGGTGATAGGTCTAGAAAGAAACCATGGATGATGGTTTGAGTCTCTGGAACAAGGAAGTCCAGGAGCTGTGAGGAGAGGCCCTGGGCAGGCCATCCAGGGGAAGGAGGACAGATCCTCCACTGTGGAGCAGAAGGACCTGAAGGAAGGTGGGCCCCTGGCAGAGAGGGGTGACTGAAAGAGCCCAATGGTGTAAGGCCCAGAGGGGAGGGTTTTGGAGAGAGTCTGCAGAGCACCAATGGAGGCTATGAACTCCATAGTGCAGGGCTCCCAAATCCAACCCCCCAGTTACCTGAAAACTTCACTTTGCCCAGGATGTGGTAGATGTTTCCAGAGAAAGGACTTGGCTTGATGGAAGACTGAATTGCTGGTGGAGGAAGAGGACAGGATTGTTACCCACCTGAGGGCAGAGGTCAAGTTCAGAGTGGCAGCGCTGGGAGGGTTAGGGACTAGGAAGGGATCTTACTCTAGGGTCCTGGGTTCATGGGTTCTATTCCCACCCATTTCTCCCCAGTGGCTCCAGAGGTGGGGGATTCCTGCATTCTCAAATCTCTCTGCCTGTTTTCAGACCCAAATGGAGAGGAGAAGAGACAGCATTCAGAAAACTAAAATGGTGCCAGGAAACAGGGACAACTCTTGTTGTTCTTTTACTGGGCCTGGGACCTGTCCTGGCCAGGGCTTACCTTTACATTTGGCTATAAAGCGAGTCCTCTCCAAGGGACGACCAAACCATACGCAGATCTGAACCATTAATGGAAAGACTGATCCAGCATCAAATTTACCTTCATACCTTAAAAGGTTTAAAAAATTGTAAGTACAACAGTATTATATAATACTTTGGAATGAACTACATATTATTTATCCTGTAATATTTGCATTCTCTCTTACTTGTACACAATTTTGTGTATAATACATTTGTTTAAATGTATATATGTTTCTTTCACCTTGAGGTTGGGAAGAATGGTTTACCTCTTTAGACTAGTAGTTTCTTGATGTCAAAGACCCCTTTGACCTTTGAAGCCTGCAGTGTCCCACCTGAGACCAGGGGGTTCTTCCTGGTACCCTTAGAGCTCTTCCTCAGGATCCCCACCCACTCTTTCAAGGGCTCCAACTATGCTCCACCATTGCTGAGGGTAGTTTAACAGACTGTATATTTGGTGTGTATACTCTCTCCAGAAGGAACTAAAGGGCTGAGGCAGCTCTGCACTATTTTCTCAGTTTTGAGTACAGAAGACATAATGTTGCCACAGACTCATTCAGAACATGGCCATATTCAGAGCATTTAAAAAATTTAACCTTTCAATATGGAAAACTTCAAACACATGCAAAGGTAGAAGGGTAGTATAATAAACTCCCATCAACTAGCTTCCAAAGTGATGGACCTGTCCTTTCTCCTTTTGTATTAGTTCCTTCAGATGAATCCCCATGATTGGAATCAGTCCAGAAGAGGGTGTAACCATCTCATGGGTAATAATTTACACTGTCCCTGGCAGTAGGTGAGCATTCCAGTTTCACAACAATTCCCCAGCAATGGTTACTATAGATATTTTTGTTTAAATGTAATAGTATCAATCAAAATAATAGTGAGGCATCATATTACATTTTGAATATTACTGACATGGAATTGCTATCATGGTTGCCATCTGTATTTGATCCTCAGTGAATTGTCCACATCTATATGGACTGGGCTATTTTTCTTAACTGACCAAACAAGTTTCTCAAATATTTTATTAACCTTTTGTCACATTTGAAGCAATCATTTTCCTCCAGTCTACTGTATTTTCATCTTCTTTTTAAAAAAAATATGATTTTATCCATTTCAGAGAGAGGAAGGGAGAGGGGGAGACAGAGAAACATCAGTGATGAGAAAGAATCCTCGATTAGCTGCCTCCTGCACTGCCCTATTTGGGATCAAGCCCAAAACCTGGTTATCAAACTGTGATCTCCTAGTTCATAGGTTGATGAGCCATACCCGCTGGGCTGTATTTTCTTATTAGTTTCCTTAGTTTTAAAATAGCAACTGCAGTTTTGAATTTTATATTGTTGAAAGTATCTTACTCTTTGTGATTTCTTAAAGTTGGGTAGTAGCATAACATTTTTGCAATACTGCCATGGTCTTTTTTCTCTCCCCCAACCCAGACAGCCATTTGGAGACCATGAGTTACTTGGGCTTCTGTGCTCAGAGCCCAAATCCTTTGGAGAATTTGGAGGGGCTAAAGGAAAAGGGAAAGGTTTCCTCCCAGGCTAGAAACACGCCCTTCAACCAGGGAGGTGGGGGCGGGGCCGATGAGAACAGAGGCCGTGGAAGGGGAATGGCTAAGAATCTTCACAGCACAGAATGAGCACATCCTGGAGCTGAAGTCCATTCACTAGGAGGTAATGGCCCTGACCCAAGGAGGGAGGGGAGTAATATCTAGGGATGAGTAGGAGTCTGATGGCTGCCATCTTGTTAAAAGACTAAATTATCTGAATCCAAGGAAGGAATTCAGAAAGGAGAGCCTGAAGGGTGATTAAAAAAAAAAAATCTTCCTTGTTGAAAGTATTACATATATTCCCTTTTCCCTCCCATTGATCCCCTCCAGCCCCCTCCCTCCCCACCCTATTGTCTATGGTCCATGGATTATGCATATACACATACAAGTTATTTGGTTGATCACC